GGCATGTACCCTCCCTGCTTTTATCTAAGCTGATTTACCTTTCATGCTTAACCTGCCTGTCATAATCGCCTGCTCGATTGACACATACCTTTGGAGCCGCTCACGCTGGCACGACGCTTATGTACGGGTCTGTCCCTGCAACGTCAACAAATATGAGTGGTCGAGCTCTGGCCCGTGGCAGCCCCGCAAGCGTCACCTCACCAGGCCCTCAGTGCCCTCACCACTCTCTCGGAGCAACCAATGGCCGGCCGGCAATCGTAATGGCAACCCATGCTTTTCTCGTCTTGGTTTACAGGGACTTCCTGAGGCCTAAAATGGGAGGCATCGCAAGCTCTCTCTCTCTCTCTCTCTCTCTCTCTCTCTCTCTCTTGCCCGCGCGATCTGCTTGCGCGTTAAAAGGGGGGCTCCTGAGCATCGCGACTCAGGAGCTCTTACTGGCTCTCCATCCCTCACCCCCTGGCCTTGTCCACGGCATCGCGACCTAGCATACCAGCGGTGGGTGAGCTCGTTCGAGGGCCGGGACCTGAGGACGTAGAGCACTAAGGAGAGTGTAGGGAAGAGAAGGGAAGCTCGCAAAGGCCTAACCCAGCTACATCCCAGTTGCAGATGCGCAAGTCCGGCGCCTCGCGAACGAACAACTCCATGCCCTCGAGATAAGTCTCCCCCCTAGAATAGCTAATTGATGCGACACAAAACCTCCACTTAATGCGGCTCTGTGACGGCGATGTTGCCTTCCTTTCTCACCTTTCGGCGACTGCTTGAGCGCTAAAGGGGACCTCCTGAGCATCGCGCCTCAGGGGCTCTTACTGGACCTCGGGCCGCTCACCTCCTGGCCTTGACCACGGCATCGCGACCTGGCATACCAGCGACGGCTGAAGCCTGCCTGGGAACTGGGACCTGTCAGCGTAGAGCACCAAGTCGTCGCGAGGTTCGAAGGGGGGAGCCAAGCCGGAATAGGACATGCATTTGCACCACTTCATGATAAGGATAATATCAACAAAAGACATCGCGGACCCCTTTACATGCCCCCACGGGGTGTTTTCTTGATTCCTCGCAGAGGCGCGAATCCTAAGAAGCCCTAACTACACGCGCGCCCATGGCCGACGCCATCATCAACAATGGGCCACAGCAGGCCGGCGCCAACCCTATCCAGATCAGCTGCCGCGACGGCCTGATGCAGCCGCCTTGCTCCGGGCACGACGCGATCTCAGGGGCACGTAGCTGTCGTCGCTCGTCTCCGGAGTCGCGAAGAGCTCGGGAGAGTCTCTGGACTCCCAGCATCACCACTGCTGCAGGAGGAGCCGTTGGGGAAGCGGGTGGCAGGCCTAGCCCTTGCCACGTCGATGTCCTGGCTGCCTCCTCTAAGGCAGTACTCCAGCCGGCGGCCTTCTGCATCGAAGACTTGAAGAGCATCAAGGAGGCGTCATCGTATTCGAAATGAATCATGAGGGCACCCCCTGTTCGGCAGACCCGGGCGATCTCGCCCAGCCCCGGGTCATGTAGACCTTGCCCGGAGCGACGACTTCAACCTCCACTCCGGTCGCTGGGGTACCGCAGTCGGCGTGCTGCAACCAAAGCTCGAGAGGCCCCCTCGGCGGCATCTCGAAGGCGAAGAAGGGAGGAAAGCGGATCCAGGAGCTCGGAGGCACCGCAGCATGTAGCACGAGCTCGCGAGAGAAGTCCGCGGTGTGGACTCCAGGAGAAACGGCGCGCACCGCCATGGCTCGTCGGCCTCTCCGATGGCGCGGGCTGCGTCGCTCGGCGTCTCCTTCTCCAGGGCCCTCAGCCCGGGCGTACAGAGGGAGCGGGAACCCAGGAGGCGGCCGCTCATACCAAGGCCTCGACATCTCCGGCCTCGCAACTTCGACGCGGCGGCCAGGGACCGGCCGTTTCTTCGGTGGGAGCGGGTCAGGCCCCTCCCGGGGGGCCTTTCCTTTCTCCTCGGCTGAGAACCGGCGGATCGGTGCCATCGGCAACAAGATGGAGGAGGAGCAAGGAAGAAGAATCAAGCGGAGCAAGAAGAGACGGGCAACGGGGGCTCACGCCTCTCCGTACTTATAGTCCAGAGGAGGCCAACCGTCAGCCTCCATGATCGTAGGTAATCATGACTCTTTTTGCATGCAGCAGGGACTCGTCAAATCGAGCAGTTGCCGAGGCAGCGTGGGGAAGCGGAAACGCCCACGTCTAATCAACCGTCACGCGGAGACCAAGGCCGCAGGCTGTTGGGGCCCGCGGCGCTCCGCACTTGCCCTTTGGCTTCGTTGCTAAGCCAAGTCCGAGCACGCCTTGGGCCCGGGGGCTACTGTCGGCATTCTGGGAACGGGGGTCCCAAGACTTGCCTGTTTGCGGCATGCGGCGTGGCTCAAGCAGTAGTCCAGTATGGCCCGTCTTCATCAACCCAAGTTCAAGACCCTCGCGAGGGGCCAAGGCTCGCGGGGCGGACGACGCAAGGCTTCCTCAGGGGCGGCCTCATCAGGCAGGCTCGCGAGGAGGCGGAGAGATCAAGGCAAGGAGTACCTCGCGAGGTGCTCGTGACGCAAGCCATGACGATCGAGACCAGGCGGGCGCCAGGCGGGCTCGGTGTCCTTGTTTCCTCTTTGGTGCAAAGGGGGCAAGCGCAGGCGCGGAGTACCAAGGCATGAGGCAAAGGTTACCATATTGGTGCAACGAGACCAAGACCAGCAGGACGGCAGGACGAAGATCACCGTGGAGCCCAAGTCGGTGTCATCACCAGTGCCTTTGGCAGTCGAAGACCACCTTTAGTCAGGATAGCTTGTACTAGCTGCCCCCCTTCAAAATGGCCGTTGTTGGCTCCCTTCCCGCTCAATATTTGGGAAGAGGACCAGGGCCTCAATATATAGAGATAGCCACCACAATAGAAGGCATCTGGATATCACCTAGAGCCAACAGAGACGGAGCAATTCCTCTCCGTGCACACCACCACAAGAACACCCCTCGCGAGGCTGTTCTTCCTCTATACTGTTCATCATCAGCCCCAGAGGCAATCCACCACACCACACACTAGATTAGGGTATTACACCACAACGGTGGCCCGAACCAGTATAAACCTCGTGTCCCTTGTGTTGTTCATCGTGTAGCTTAGATTCGCGGCGAGGTTTGGGGGCGTGGATCGGTAGGGAGTAGATCTTCGTGCGCACCCCAGAGTTCGAACCTTAAGGGTTTTGCCGGAACCCGATATCCGACACACTCCTCGCACCATCATCCTTCCTTTTCCCCTCTTCTTGTCGCGTCGTCGCTGGAGGACGTCGTCGGCTGAAGCCCGGGCGAGTGGGCGACCGACAGCATTGGAGCACGCTGGGGCTTGGGATCGCGGCGACCGGGGTTGTGCTCACGTCCTCATGTGGGGTCGATGGTAGCGTGGCAGCTTAGGGTTGTGTCCTGGGGTGACAGGGACGGTGTTGTGGACAGATCCACGCAGGCGTGCGACGGTTAGGTTCCATGGCGGTGTTGGTGGATGTAGGTTGGCGGGGGGCGGGCACGAGGGGTCGGGTGTGGTGGTGCCCTGGAAGCGCTGGGGTCCTCTCCTTCACCTTTGGTCCATGTCAGCGGTCTGAGACAAAGGTCAGATTGATGTTGGGCGGCCGCAACTTAGGCGTCGTCCATGGTCAACCCAATGTGGTTGCCCTGTATAGACTTGGATGGCTTGATGGTGGTGATCTAGATCCGGTCGGCCGGGTGGTGGTGGCTGCAGACTGTGTTGTAACGACCTCCCGCGGCTCCACGATGACGGTGGTCACCGAAAGGTCTTTGGAAGGGTTCGTCTCTCCAAATCTGATGATGGATGGTTGTGCAGCGGCGGCGGTTACTCATCGCATGTAGCTGGTGGGATCGCGGAAAAATGGTGATGACAACGCATGAGTGACTTCGATGGTGCTATGCGCAATTGGTCTGGAGCTCCTGCGTGAAAACATATCTCAGATCTGAGTTGGTTATACCTGGCAACAACGACATTTTTTGTTGTTACCTTGTTGAAAGCATTGCTCGGTATGCTCATATTGATTCTTGAGGGTGAATACCTAGATTCTTGTCTTGATTGTTGGATCATGTGAAGGCGGCGTTTGAGCATTGCTCCCTTTCTGAAGGCATTGTTGTTGAAGAACTTCATCGTTTGTGTGGTGTCATGAAATGGTTGGTGTGCGAATATGGTCATTGCTATAGTTTGCGAATCACAGATTTGATCGCTATAAAAAAGTTCTTTTTCTTCATCTAAGCATAGCTTTGTGAAGGTCTCTTCATTTTTGCTACTCCCACCGGCCCTCTTTACTATGCATATAAGACTTGTCTGGAGTCAAACTTTGTAAAGCTTGACATATTTATATTAAAAAGTATTAACATCTATAATATAAATTTATTCAATATGAAAATTAAATTTATGGTGCATCTAATGATATTGATTTTGTATTGTGTGAATGTTAATATTTTTTCTATAAAGTTGATCCAACCTTGCGAAGTTTGATTTTAGACAAATTTATATGCAGAGTAAAAAAAAAGACTAAAGGGAGTATGTCGGTGACCTTTGTAAGTACTACTTCTGTTTCTAATGTTTAAGACATTTTGACAGTTTAAATTGAACTGCCAAGACGTCTATATTTAAAAACACACGGTGTACATAAATAGTTGAAATCTTTGGTTTCTCTCTTCTCTGCTGTTTAGGAAGCTTCCCTCTGTGGTTTTCCCTTAGTTTTCTATAGGTATTCTTTCTAATTTCACTGACAAAGGCAAACCCTGTTTTAAACACAGCCGGTTTGATACAGGACCTTGCGCCATTTGGCACGACGGGTTTAATTATTAAAATGGCTGTCAGTATTACCAAATTGCCAAGCCTTTGTTATTATTTGAAATGGCACCTTGTGCCATTTGGCGCGCAACAGGTAATCTAGTTTTGCATATATAATCAGACAGACGGTCATTCGCCGCTGAGAAGGTCGTCGAGCTACGATCCATCACTCCCGAGCCGGCCTGAAAAGCTCGTCCAGGCAATGGCCAACGGTGCCGGCTGGGGAGAGCACCACGTCCGGATACGGCCAGCTCATGACGGCGCCGGACGAGCAGGGAAGTCTGCTGCCCCGCCGCCGCCGCCGGAGATGGTGCTGAATCGCTTCGTTCGCTTGGTCGCGCTGATCGAGAGGCTTGGCAACGCCTTGGGCACGCTGGCCTTTACCTGGGCAACTGTCGTGCTGCTCGGCGGCTACTCCAAAGACCTCAGCTTGCAGGACGATTTTTGGTATGCGACAGCGATTGTATTCCTCGAAGCTGCAAGGTATGACAAAGCAGTTTTGTGAGTACATATAGATCCATGAAGAATATGAACTTCTTTCCGGGTTCGTACATGTATACATTTTCTGAAAAAATCTATGGTACCATACAGCGCTAATTTATACTGAGATAGGCCAGCTTATACAGAACATATAAGAAATACAAAAGACCAAGGCGGTTGTTAGTCGTCCTACTCTTAGAGCATCTACAGCATGATTTTTCAAATTGACCGGACGCAAAATCGCTGACTGAACAGAAGAGAGGAAAAAAATGATTCAACCGAACCCCTCAAGGCCTCCTTAAATGTTCGGGCAGTCCGACACTTCTCATATTGCCCTTATATATGAGATAAGTATAAGGGGTGCCCAGACGTGTCCGGTCAGTGATCCTATGACCATGCACCACCTTTGCTCTTTGTTTATTCTTTCTCTTCTTTCTCTCACTTTATGTTCATCAATCACATGCATGTAACTGAATGTACAGGGGAAAAGTGAGGGACATGACTGTGAAAATAACAATTTAAGAGGTGACCGGTCACTGTCCACGGATGTGTCCACGAACGTCCACAATGTTTGAGGGCCAGATTAGGTTATATGACTGTAGATGCTCTAAGGCCGGTTCCCCGGGCATGTCCGTGTACAATGAAGTATCCAAAACAGTTGGCCTCCACTTTTCCCCTACTGGTCGTGTCCTCCTTTTTTCTTTCTTAAACTCAATATTGGCACTTGCCGTTGAAATAATCCGAAGATAATGTTACTATACAACAATAATTTGAAGATAAATATTGCAATTCAATTACAAAATTTCATCTTGCATAGTTTAAATTAAATTCAATTGATTCGGCGCATTTCTCAACTACGAACCCTTCGGTGCATTTCAAGGAAAAATTCAAAGTCAGTGGCTTCATGTTGTGCAAGGCTGACAGGATTACCCATGTAGTTGAAGTCAACATTACATACACCTTCGTCCTCGTCCTCAATCATGTTGTGTATGATCACACAACAAGTCATCATCTCATACAATGTCTTAAGATCCGTTGTTTAATAGGTCCACGAGCAATTAAAAAATGTTTTAGAGCACTCCTAATGCTCTCTTCATATGTTTTCTAGCACCTTCTTGCCTTTGGGAAAGTAAGCTTTTTTTGTTACCTATTGACCGGGAGATGGTGTGGACAAACGTCGCATACCGAGGATAGATGCCAACGGCAAGGTAGTACCACAGGGTATAGCCATACCCATTGATGGTATAGTTGGATTTTGGAGCTTTGCCTTCACAAAGTCTTTGTAAACAATGGTGGCCCATGGAGCACGTTTTTGTGGTTATGAGACCGTGGCATAGCAAAGAAAGATTGCCAAATCCACATGTCTTCTAATGCAAATGCTTCAATAATGATGATGAGGTCCTCAACAAGATACTAGTATTGCCCTAGCTGAGCATAGGGGCAATTCTTTCATTGCCAGTGCATATGCAATCTAGCGATCCGAGCATACTTGGAAATCATCTTGAGACGGGCGGAACTAGATAGGTTAGGTCTTGGGTGTACAAATGTACACCCATTATTTCTGCAAGAAGGTTCACTACCTATGTATAATACACAGATGGAACAGAAATTGCAGTAAAACTGTGTTTTTTTAGACAACCATTGTCTGAATGTTGGCACTGCCACTGACTCCAAGTGTGAAAAGCCGAGTTATATCCTTGTCATTTGGTTCTCTGAAGTGCTCCTTTTCCAGACATCTCACCACCACGGTTATAAATGTAACCATTGCTTCTAGGCATGTGGCCTGAGACATCAAGAGGTACTCATCGCACTGGTTTCCGGTTGTACCAGAGATCAACATGGCCTCTTGCACACCACAATAAAAAAACTCAATGTCACGCCGTTGAACCCTTGAAGTTCAAAATATGCTACTTTTCCTTCTCCGTTTCTTCAAGAATACCCATCATCATCGCCAATTCAGCATCTGAATAATCATCCAAAGATGATGATTTGATGAATTAATTATAGAAGTACTCATGACCAGAATCTATTGTGTTTCTTTGCAATTGAACAACAAAAATGCCCCATGTTCGATCATTTCACCGAACACATGGTGTGCGCGGTGTCCGGCATGGACGACATCAGTCAATAAAGAGGATATAGAACTAGGGTACCACCAGCTAGGAAGGGGCCAGTCACGTCGTCCCTGCACATGGAAAGTCAGCCACTCGAGCCTAGGCACCAACCGGATACCGCGTCCACTTGGGAGCTAAGGCAACATTGATCCATTGGCACACGACCATTGTTTGACCCGATGGCACAAACCCACCTTTAATCTGACGCGAGCCATGTAAACCTAGCTCGAGCATGTATATAAGGCGAGTTAGGACCCTCTCGGGAGGATCCAAGACATTCTAGAGACATCTAGAGACAACCACCATAAGCAGGAGTAGGGAATTAGCTCCCCATAGAGGGCCCGAACCTGGATAAATCGCTTGTCTCATATGCCACCTTCTCGGTCCTCCACTCACATACCCCTCTCAGCGATACTACCAAAGTCAGCGATACTACCAAAGTCAGAACACCGACAATCGGGGGTGTACATGGGCGGCGGACAAGGGTGTTGGGCCCCGGATTCGTCGTCCAAAGGGTAGGGGGCAGCGACAACAATGTGGGACTCCTCCGGGTGGACAATACCGACAAAAGAGGAAGGGAAGCGGCGGCGAGGACGGACTCTATGGAGTGTTGAGTGGAGAGTGGACAGACTCTGTGGAGGTGGAGCGGACGGCCTAGCGATAGGAGGACAAGCAGGGCAATGAGATAGAGCATCCGAAGGCCTAGCACGACCCATGCGATGTTCGAGGTGGGTTTGGTTGCGGCATCAGGGTCCGGATGAGGGCAAAGAGTGATGGGAGCCAGGGTGGGTGGGGTGGGGAGGGGTCTGGGTGAGGTCAGGTTGTCAGGCCGACGTGGCAGATTGTCCGAACGTCTCTTACTCCCCTCCATTTGACACCACCAGAGTAGGGAAGATAGTAGGCAGTCCGTACTTGTCTAGTCCAAGTATGGGAGCCCGTTGGAGGCCCAGTTTTCTACGGGCAGTACGATCCAGACATATTAGGGGGAGGGGAGTTTTTCTCAAAAAAAAAAAATAGGGGAGGAGAGTAGGGGAACCTGTTGTAGATGCCTCTATGGCCGAAATAAAAAGACACAAAAGAAAAGTTATCCAGATCCTATGAACACTTTGGGATTTTTTTTTAAAGTATACAAACTCACAAAGGGGTACATATACTCGGACCTATGTACTACCTCTGTTCCTAAATATAAGACGTTGAACTGCCAAAAACGTCTTATGTTTAGAAACAGAGGATGTACATATTAGACTTTCTCCAAGGCGTAAATAACGTCAGTAATTATATACAGAAATATACACTCGAAATAGAGGTATGCACTAGATATTTCCCTATAATAGTACCGTAACTTTTCTACTGGTTGAAATTAATTAGAACACTGCTGCAAAAATTGTCATGCAAGCTTAACGGTCCAAATTAAGAACCCAGCGCTGTTATGACCTACTGAAAGCATTGTCTATCTTTCTTAAACATTATGATCTTACACTCTAGAATTTGTGATTTATATAATGCCGATATATAATAAAATGAATGCATATATGCATACTTCAGGATGTTCACCCGCAACAACAGAATGGATTACCAACTGTTCTTTAACACAAGGGGAGCTTTTAGACCTGTGGGCTGGAATGGACTGGTTGCAGTACTATGCTTTTTTGATGTTTTCGTGATCCTCTGGGAGAAAGATTATCTGTCTGATATGATGCTTCTATCGATAGTAATAATATTTGCAACTGGCCGATTCCTGTCTGGGCTGAAACTGAACATATGCAATCCGCTACGCCGTGCCACGTCACTGTGGAGCCCCTTGGTTGCAATCCTACTGACGGCTCCACCTCTGTACAACGGAGGGATAGGCCCATTGACCAGTTGGATTGTATTCACAGCACTACTTGTGCCAGTGCTATTGGTGACAATAAGCAGGCTACGGTTCACCAGAATCGTCAAACTAGCGGATAGTATTCTTGGCAGAAAACAAAAACTTTGGCGCCGAGTTTTTATAAACTTGTGCATGATTGCTGCGCTAGGGATGCAGGTGTACATGCTACACTTAGATCCATTCATGAACATGTCCCTTATCATGATAGTCCAAGTGTGTGCCTTGGTGGTGGTGTCATTTGGCAACTTCCAGGTTCCAGCAGCAGTGTTAAGAATCTGCCTAGCAAGCTTGAGCTTACAGCATAGCTACAAGGATGACCAAGAGAACCTGGCAGCATCTCTTGAAATCTTCTATTGGATGGTGCTTGGACAAGGAATCCTTTATGCTGTGGCTTGCATGCTCGAGTTCTTTTCGTTCATCCCGCGGAGGTCCCTTGTCCACTGTGGTGGATTTAGAGGTCAGTGGGGAGTGGACTCCGTAAATCTGTACTATGCATATGCCCTAGAGAAACGCATGCAAGAAGGTGTGCTTGCTCCAAAGAAGATCAGCCTGAGTAACTTTGCCATGGATTCTCTAAACTCCAATTCATCCAAGAATCAGCTCTATGGTATTCGGATGATGCACAGCTTTCTGCAAAGGGAGCCAACCAAGGCACAGCTACTTTCAAAACTCACCACTTCTACCAAGACGGTGGCCAGAATAATCAGGATGTTGAATTGGACAAGTCCAAAGGATACAACTATCAGACTGTATGCCGCGAAGGTCACCGCTGAACTTGCAAAAGACCTCCATGTTGTTACCTTCCCCGGTACAATGCAGCTTGTATCAGCACTTCTTGATGCTGATAGCAGACCGAGAAGAAGAAATCCACTTCTGGACACAGATGATGAGCAAGAAGAAAGACAAGATCAATTTCTGAATAGAGAAGATAACCGGGAGCAAGAACATCATACAGTAAGGGATGCAGCTGTTAACCAATCGCAAAGACAAGACCCACTTCAAGACACCAATAACCTACTTGAAGAAACACAAACATGCTCGACCCAACAACCTTTCGTCGACAAACAGAACTCTTACATAATCAGATGCTGGCAGTGGATGAAAAAATTATGTTCAATTCCCAAGGAGCAGCTGTCGGCAGACCATGATCTTCTCCCTGCACTGGCCATGTCGATAATTGAAAGTCTTGCTTGGTGTGATCAGGAAAACTGTGTGGAAATTAACAATGCGGCTAACCTCATCCCGAAAATCATAGGATTCACGAGATTCAAACATGCCATGAACACTGTGGATACCGAGGCAGAACAAAAGGTCATGTTGAAGTCATCACTGAAGGTGCTGCAAAGACTCACAGGTATTGGTGGGGAAATTGGCATAACACTTCGGTACAAGATATCAAAACATCCCTTCCTATTGAGAAACCTTTCAGAAATCTTGAAAGACAACAGAAGCAGCCAGGAATCGAGAAAGTTGGTGACCGGAATCCTCAGGAACATTGCCATTGATGGGAACATAAGGCAGGACATTGGTCGCATTCAACTGATCATCACCAGGCTGAAGCAGACATTTCTCAATGAAGAAAATCCCATGATCGCCAATGCTGATCACTTGTCACGGAAGGTCGCGGGGCAAGCACTGGCAATGTTGACGACAGAAAGTGCCCAAAATTGCTTGATTGTGTTGCAGGAACCAGACTTCATTAAGAAATTGAAACATATGATCTTGATCCATGATGGCAAGTACATATATGTGGCAGCAAGTCTGTTACGTAACCTGTGCCTGCACTCTCGACACGAGCTCAGAGAGCCGGACCTGAAGGAGCTATCTCATATCTTGCGAGAGGTGAGCCCTGTTAATTCAAGCAACAAGTGCAGTATTAGAGGTGGCTAACGAAATTTATCATTTGTATTTGTTCTTGTGCGTGAGTTGTTCGTAGATCCCTGCAATTTTGTACTTCTGCCCGTTTATTATCACTGATTATGTAGTATAGCTACAAATTGAATTGTCACTAATTATGATACATATCATCACAGGTGTTGGAGAAAATAATTGACGTGGAAGGGGCAGAACTAGAGATCATCATTGGCCTTAGTTCACTAATTTGTAAAACCATTCCTGAAGACTTTACCCAAGAACTAGAAGGCGGCCAGATTAAGCGAAGATTTGTGAAAAGGCTCGTCGATGTGTTGAATGCAAATACGGAACCTGGCGCTAATTGTCCTGGGATCAGAAGGGTTATACTTGAGCAGGTCATTTACATGATGGAGTCCAATTATCGCTATGCGGACTGTTTCAACGAATTCAGGATGACAGAAGCCCTCTCAGTCGTCGAACAAACACTGTCACACGCTGAGAACTACAAGTTCTTCTTGGGTGATGCAGGTTTCATGGAGTACAACACACCTATCTCCGCTCTTGTGGTAAGAGCAAAAGAGCTTATGTGTCGTAACTGACTAGCTTCAACCGTAGATGGTAGCAGAACTTCTGAACACATTTGATTCCTCATTTCATAAGCGAGTTGTAGGAGATTATTCATTTGCAATTGTAGTGAAATGTACGTTACAGTACAATAACGGACACGTGGATTTAGATTTCTTAGCAAGAATGCAGGTGTGAGGAGAAAAAGAACAATCTTGGCTTTAGAGACACAAGGTGCTGATATAGTTGTAGAGATTTCATATTTGTAATTTGAACCTCAGATAAAAAATAGTGGGTGTATGTGCTTTATTTTACAATGAAAAATACTTTCGTTTGCAGTGGGAACAGGTAATTTTTATTATTATGCATAATCAAATGGTTCTATCTGTAACCAGTTAATTCATATCACTGTTTTGGCATATACTGTTACAGGGAAATTTTCATAAAGTTGGTGCCGATGCAGTGAGGGGTTGTGTTGTCCAATGTTTACAAGAAAATATAGGATTATGCATCTAGGTTAGGACAACACAGTTGAAGAGAGGGAGATAGTGTGATGTTACTGCACAGATAATCAAACAAATCTTGCTATTAATAAGTCTGCGTCATGTGGACAGTGACATAAATGAGGCAAGAAGGCCAAATCTATGACCGTGCCCCCAGGAGGCGATGTCCGGTAGTCCCTGGCATAGCACGAAAGAATGCTTATGAATACTTTTCAATCTGTTTTGTGGTCCATGGTCCCAATGTTGCAATACGAGACTAAAAATGCCCAAGTCTGATGGGATGATGGTCTCCATTGTTCAGTATGCCACTGAGCAGTCGAGACTCGCTCAAGAAGTATCGAATTCAGTGCAGACACTGAAGACTCTGCAAGTTTGTGCTGCTAATTGGCCGCCTAATGATGATATTATCTAAGTTTAGTCACGGATGGTAAACCTAAAAAGATTGTACTCCCTCCGTCCCATAATGTGTAGTGTCAAAAAATGTCTTACATTATTAGACGGACTAACAACAGAATCCGCACAGTGACATTATGAAATCTAGGTTTATTCCAACACCACGAAACGTGAATTTTCTGCCACGATTGGCCATTAAACACTACCGCAGTCAGCAGCGATCCCCCAGAAACCACTGATATTTGCTTCTCGAATCAATCCCCACTGCCAATTTGAGTACAGAAGGTGCCGGCTGCCTATGTGAACCCTAAAAGTATGGCGATGAAATGCCCCTAATATCTCGAGGGCGACCACGGGTGCCGGAGGCCGGAACGCCGCCAGTGCCCAGGGGGGAGGGGGAAGGAGGGGAAGGTAAACAGCACCTGCGAAGATGGGATGCTGGAGATCCGCGCCGAGCTGATCTCCTCCATGGCGCGGAGGCAGAACCGGGGCGCCTTCGCCTGCCCATCCCGGTCGCAGCTTACGTATTTGTTGTTTTTTTTTCTAACATGTTTATAGGTAACTAGTGTAATTATTTATTTATTTATTTAACACAGTACGTAGTGCATTTAAAAAAACTCTACTCATGAACTGTCGATACATCCAAATCCATAGACCCTCCTCAATCATGGCCCCTCCTCGATGGAGTCGGGCAGATCTTATTGTAGTAAACAGTTGTGGTAAAGTCACACAGGACTAGCGTATCAGAACAGCAAACATCAGTGAATAGAAGTATAGATCGAAAGGATCAAACCATTGGACACATGAACATAGACGGATGAAGACCGGCTCCCACTAGATCAACCGAAAAGAAACGCCAACTGAATTTTGTGAGATTCGTCGGAGACACACTTTCATGTGCCTTCCGACAATGTTAGATACACCTACTTATAAATAACCTCACAACAAGATATAGCGGCGAAGGCGATGGTCCTTAGCTCTGAGATCAAATGAGTTTGTGTAAACAGTAAAATCCAAAAAAATTAAGAAAAGAATCTGAATTATTTTTGTTCCAAACAATGACTTTTGAGTGCTTCAGACGTTTGACCATGGCATGACATTCGTTAAAATCGTGAAACTTTGTAACCGGTTTTTTCTTTCAGAATTTTAAATCTTTTTTTTTTTGAGGAACCGGCAGGAGCACTGCCTTTTCTTATAGAAGAGATGGCGAAAAAACGCAATTTATAGAGGGGCGAGCGTTTAAAGGGAACGTCGCAGAAACCACAAGAAGAACAAAACCTAGAACTAGGTTAACCAATACCTGCGGCTGGCAAAGTGCCAGCAAACGCCAGGTCGCGCTGATTGATTGCGTCTAGGGCTAGAGCCGCCACCTCGCGATGCGTCAACCTCAGTCCCGTGAACACCCGCCTATTACGCTCCTTCCAAATGGACCATATCGTGTAGATGATTCTTCCACTGCGCCTCTTGTGCACTTGATTGGGCTGTGAAAAGAGAGTCTTGTCCCACCAGTCAGACACATTTCTTGGCTCGGGGAGGAAGCCCGAGATAGGAACGCCTTCGTTAGTCCAGGTGTTCACCTGGTTCCAGACCGCGACCGTGATGGGGCAATCTTTGCAGAGATGGGTTGCTGTTTCAGGCTGTTGGAGACAGAGCAGGCATCTGGGATCATAAGGCCAACCCCTCGCAGCCAGCATATCCGCAGTGAGGATTCTTCCGTGAAGAGCAAGCCAAGCAAAGAACTTGCATTTGGGCTCAGCGTTTGCAGACCAGACCTTGGTTGTGTCGAAACGAGAGTAGAAGCCAAGGAACTGCGCGTCGTAGGCAGAGGCGGCTGAGTATGTCCCCGAGGTGGTTAAGTTTCAGTGGATGGTGTCATCTTGGTTCGGTAGAATTTTAAATCCTCTTTTTAGTTTTTCCGATTTTACTGTTTACATGAACTCGCGAAAGAGGACTTTCGGAAGTTGACTCTGTTACATGAAATTAATTAAATCCGTCCCTTTGGGATTGTTTTATATTAGTATAGATAAGACTTATTCCAGCCTTTTTTTCCAACGATGTTTATTTAGTGAAAAAATAATTTTTAACACAATATAGACGGAGATGCTTATACATACGCACATATACTCATCTCTATGAACACACACGCAAACCCTACCCCTATAAATACCTCCGAAAGACTGAGTTGGCACATCATTTTAAGATTGACGAAGTCACTATAGACGCCTTCGTAGTCGGGAACATCTTAGTGGGAGGAGACATTATCCCAGACTACGATGCGTTTATGATGACTTTGTGGACTCAATATCTCAAAGTTTTTTTTGCATGGTAGTACATGTCTCATTTATATCACAAAGATCATAGTACAAACCCATACATATTGACCTGGCAAAATTGAAGAGATAGAAAAACACTAGTTTTTGTACAAAGGAACACCGAACAAGAAGTAAAATTATAAACAAGACTGAAAAAATCTTCTGAGTTTGACGCCAACTCCGTCACCTGCCTCTGACACCACCACAGTAGCCACTAAAGGAAAAAAAATGATGGATCACGTCCACACCTGAGCTCGACGCGGCTACATCACTGATATGCAGCTTTGCGGACATCCAAAGTGGCTCGCCAAAAGACAAAACCATTACCGTTGAATGAATCAGAGCAAGGCAACACCCCAGATACCTCATCGAACTTCATATCTGACACCTCACATGACTAAGACGTTGGAGAAGGAAACCATACTTGTCATCCACGAACCACGAACCCAGCACATGATCTACCATCTTTCAGATGCCGCCGATGCATACCACAATCTGCATCCGCTCCTGAACTACCTCCCAAGCAGCCAAGCTCCGCGCCGGCGCTAGAGCAGACGCCGTCGCAATGACTGAGCCCCAGGACACATGTCCACCACAAAGATGCCGCCGACGCCACACCATCCTTACTTGAACAAACTGATTTCAAATTCATCCTCAAACATAGGACCGATCGGCTCTTCGAATAGGATCTGGAGAATTTTTATACAGCGCCATCAGCGTCGCCGTCGAAGCCAAGATTTGAAGGGGCTCTTACAGATAGAGTTTGCGGGTGCGCGTTTATAGGGTAAGTATACGGGCGTGCATGGAACATTCATGGTTGCAATGTGTTAAATACTTCCTCTGTTCATTTTTATAAGACCTTGTAAACAATTTAGACATCACCTAAAACAGTGCAATGTGGGCTGTCTGAAACGTCTTTTATAGGTGAACGGAGGGTCCCTCAAAAAAAATGAACGGAGGGAGTAATAAAAAAGCACGGCACGCGTGCACGGCGCTGCCGCTAGAAAATATGGGCGTGCATGGAAAAGAGCACGCGTGCACGGCGCTGCCACTAGAAAACCCAACCTGTGACAATTCTGTGTAACGTTGACACGTCAACCCAGTGTGGCGCCGGCACGTCACACCCAGACCCCGCCACCTCTATCCTCTGCAACGACCCGGCATTACTACACCCAAGGCAGAGTCTGCTAGAACTCCTGCTTGACTTTCCATGGCCGATTCCGGTGACACAGTCCAACCAAACACGCACCAACACGACAGCGACCCGAGCAGAGCCGTGGCGCCCCGCCTCATCCCACCTTCCTTCCTCATCCCTTTCTTGCTTGATCCACCTCGCCTCTTCATCCTCCGCCCAAGTTTTCAACCACGTCTCGTTGCGGGCGAACAGGTCCTGAATCGGTTCTCCGCGCCCGATTTCTTCGCATCCCAGTGGCCGTGTACTTCTAAATGGGGAGCCGGCGGTGGGTCGCGGCGGCGGCGGCGGCGGCCGTGGGGGCGCTCTTGCTGCTGTCCGTAGCCTCTCACGGAGCACGGAGAGGTATCTCTCGGTTCGCCGCACCATTTTTGTGACTGTATTAGCATTTCCTTTTGGGCGCAAGCTCCAGTCTACCAGAAATTTCTTTACCAGAAATCTCATAGCGCATTTTTTTGTCGGTGATTAATATTTTTAGTTGTTTTCATGCATAATCATCAACCATATCAACAAAAAAGCCATAATTATCATTCACAGGACACAGTGTCGACAGCAACAACCGGACTTTTGTTTTTAACTATACCCTAGCGAAGACTATTGTGGAATATGCGTCAGCTGTAAGTGTGACTTCATCC